CATTTCCACTTTTCTTGTGTCTATCATCATCCCATAGCCTTCTATATCTACTAATTTCACCCTAGCAGATCAACAATCTGGGTGGAGATAAAATTGTGGGTTGCCCCACTATCTATCAACACTACCACCTCCTTATCAACTATCTTTCCCTTCAATTTCATGGTGTGATTCGTTGTGAATACTACTACTGAGATTTGTGAGTGTTATGCTACATCCATATGCAACTTCTCCTCTTCCTCCATCTCTAAGCCACTCCCACCTTCCTCTTCAGCTTCCTCGTCATCGCAGACAGTGAGAACCTGAAGAGTTCGGTCCTTGCACCTATGCCTCGACATGTACTTCTCATCATATCTAAAACACAACACCTTTGCTTTCTTCTCAAGTATCTCCTTCTCACTCAGCCTTTTGAAGTTTTCCCCATTTCCTCCTCTAGATCTCTCCTTGGACACTTCTTTCAGACACCCTTACACTGGCCCCTTGGAAGCTAAGAAGCTGGTGCCCATCCTGTACGATCCCCCTGAGTTGCTCCCCCTAGCCCCTCTCTCCAGCTGCTTCTGATCCTCCACCAACTGTGCTAGCTCCATGACTTCCCCCAAGTCTCTTTGCCTCATCACCCTAATCGCTGACCGTATCTATTGTTTAAGCCCATTCATAAAGTTCCCCTCTAGTACTATCTCAGAGAGCTGATATAATCTGCTTGGCAAGTACTTTAACCTGTCATGGTAATTTGCCACAATCCCCTCCTGTGTCAAGACAAAGAATTGCTCATAGAAGTCTCCTCTCCTACCGGTTCAGAAATGCTCTAGTAAGCACTCTCTAAACTCCATCCAGCTCCTGATGGGTTGCCTCATGCCACGCCATTGGTACCACACTAGTGCCTTCCCCTCCAAACACAATCCTGCCATTATCAGCTTCTCTTCCTCTGTCAACCCGATGACAGTGAAATATTGTTCCACCTTGTAGATCCATCGATGGTCATCCTCGCCCTCAACGATGGACATCTTCAGCTTTCTCACCTTCGGGTTAACCTTGTTGTCCCTAAATCCTCCATAACTTCCTATTCTGCGAAGAGGAGGTGCTCCCCAGTTGTCACGATCTTCCCTCCGACAATCATACCCAACATCTTCATCAAACTCCCCTCTTCTTCTTTCAAATTCAACACCCCTACAGTTGGAATCCTCCATTCTCCCTACAAAATTAGCAGCATTTCTTTCGAAACCAGACTCATCTCCTGCCTAGAAAGTGGTTCTACAGGTGACATTCCGTCTTCACCCCTAATGTCTCCATTTCCGAATTTTTTCCTTCCCCTAAACATGTTAGGGTTTCCACCTCTTCCATGACCGTCGATGGTTTCCCTTACTTCCGATGTCACCAGATTGGTCTTCACTTCTAATAATTTCTTCAACATCTCTTCCATCATGGCGAACTTCTCTTCCATCCTTTCATTATTGGATGAAATCTGATTTTGAAAATTAGAAAAATTTTCCTCCAAATTTAATTTAAGTTGCCTAATTTCTCCTTCCAAAACTTCAACATTCTTTTTGCCCATATTTCTTGTCACGACCCGGCCTGATGAGCTCGTATAGACGAGGCGGGAACGGAATCGGATGTTCAGAATATAAACCTTTCTTAAAACATGTATTTAAGAATCTAAAAGACTTCCAAAAGGAAATAAAAGCGCCTCTAAATTTTTTCCAAATATACAAAATATTTCATATAATTTCATATCACTTCAAGAGAAGATTCACATGTACAAAGGTGGTTACAAAACTTATCATTCATGCCAAACCACCCAAAAAGGTGTAAACTAAAACTAAGAAAAACATAAGAAAAATCTGTCAGCCGGTCCTCTACGACTGTAGGTGAACCAAGGGTGGTCAGCCACTCTTTGCAGCAGGTTTTCCTAAAAAGTATCCCAACACGAGGGAGTGAGCTAACGCTCAATAGGAAACACTAATCCTAACATATTCACATGCCTTTAATAAAAGAATATTTACATGTATGATAGAAGTGAAAAGTCTTGATTGTTTTGCTACACATGCTAGTTTTTATGCATAAGCTAAATGTGATATGATAGTTCATATGTCTTATGTATGTCAGATGCCTTATGTCATATGCTTTATGTATGCCGTGTGTCTTATGTATGTCAGAACTTATGTATGTCATATGCTTACTCATGCTCTATCTTATACAACAGTACCGGAGTACTAGGAGTGTACTGATCAGGTACACAAACATCTTTTTGGCCATTCATTTTCTTTCATTTTTTGCCTCAAAGGGCCATATTGTTCCGTATTGCTCATAAGAGTCATATTTGTGCTTTCGCACCATATTGGTACTCCGCCTTCAACATGCATAATCATTTACATATTCTTTCCATAGAAACATAGATATGTAATGTAGCATTTTCATTTCATAACGACCATATGCCTTAAGCATGAAGTAAGTACAGGAAAAACTTTCATGAAATGCTTAGAATTTTAAACATCAACTATGCATTGATTTATAAAAGTATTTCTACATTTCTATCAAATAATAAAGACATTTCATATGCATTTGCTATGTATCAAATTAACTAAAGAATAAAAATATAAAGGAACAATAAAAACATAAATGAACATGAATATGTAGAGTAAGAGATTCATACTTCAATTGCCTTTTGAAAGTCTTCACTTCACCAACCTCTCCTTAATTCCTCTTTTCAAAACCTAAGAGAAAAATCACAACATAAGCCTCTTATGTCAATTCAATTCACTATACCTCATTAACTCTTCTCAAGCCATAGCTAATCACTTCCCTTAAGCTCACTAATACTCATTCTCATATCCATACTTTAAAGCACTTATCTAACTCATAAGCATGTTCATTACATAAAGCATGAGTCTTATTTCTAAAGTAAAACATAGATCCTAATTGGTAATTATCTTATTATAAACTCATAGTTTATCACATCCCTTCCTTCAATAAAATAGAATTTAAATGAAATTTTCAGTTTTACCTAAAAATCAAATTTTGGAAACTTAATGCTTCACTAATATCATTAAGTTTGCATAATAAAACATCCCCCTTTCCTAATTCTAAGTTTAGGACATTAAATTTTCGGATTAATTCATAAAAATATTAGGAAAAATATTATTTTTTTTAAAAAAAGTGCAATTTCTCTTAATTAGAGATCTCCCATAACCCTTAGTAACAAGTTTATTAGTTAACATGCAAGCTTTGAAATGCACAATTAGGAAAAGCCCTAATTTAATTAAGGAAAATTTTGAATTTCAAGGTAATTATGTTTCTGCACTCTTCCTAACATCATTCTTAAACAAATTCTCATGTTTAAAAGAAACCCTAGTTTTGGAACCTAAGTTTTCTTTAAGCAAACTTCATGTTGATGACTTAGAAACATAGGCATAACCAAGCCCTAACACTTTTCTAAAGAAAACCCCAACAAAAACAAAACCCTAAAAATTCGATTCATGAAAATCTAAGGGTAGAGAACAAGATTTTCAAGTTTAAACTTACCTTTTATCTTCCCCAAGCCTTCCCTTTGATGCACCCTCTAAACTGCCGCCGAAAAACTCGCCGCCGCCGCTGGATTTTGGATAAGCGGACGCTCCCTCCTCCTCTACCGCCCGGTTCTTCGTTTGGCCGAGAGAAAAACAAGAGGGATCGAAATATTTCGGTCCCTAAGAAGTGTTTTGCCTATAAGACGGAGAGGGCTAACCAAAAGACGCATGTACCCTCACAAACAAAAAATTCCTTAAGGGCTCATGAGGGCAAAACGGGTACAAAGGGTAAAAAGTTTCTTAAACAATTTTCGGCGATTTTTAATTCTCAAACTGAACGAATTTTGGTATACGTTCTTTATACCGTTTCGATTGAAATTTCGTGTAGAATTTAATAAATTTTATTTCGTCGAATTTCAACGACTTTGAAATTTCACCTAAATTCGTTGCGGAGCATCGAAATGCGTGCAACGCATTCGATCGACAGTTTTCAGATTTTACATTTTTTCCCAAGAATCACGAGAAGATCTTCTTTCGGATGAAATTTCAAAATTTCAGCCGCCGATGGTCCCAAGATAATGCTCTGATACCTATTTGATAAGAAATACTTGAGTTCGTAAGTAATCCAAGAGGAAATGTTTGAGTTCGCAAGCAGCCCTAGCAATATATGATAAAAGCAGCGGGAATAATGCGATAATCTTGATGGAATCAATCCCAAACGATCGATTGTAATAGTGGATTCAAAGGAAAAAAAACAAACAAACACAAAACAAGATACAATTGATCCTCAATTCGAGAGGAGGGTGATTCTCTCCCAATCTCTAGACGATGAGTGTAGAGCCCAAGACGCCAAAGAAACTTCAAGAGAACAAAAGAACCCCAAATCAAAGCATAACCCTAACCCTAATTCCCTCCTCCTACTTAAAGCATACAATTAATTAATCAAGCCACAATTACTATTCAGTTCTTGCCGCCCCCTCCTTTCCCTCCAGTTTGAATTTGAACTCTTAGTGGACCCCACTCCTCTCCCTCTCTGTTTGTCGCTGCCCCTTCCTAGAGTAAACCATGATCGGTCCACTAGGGATCGGTTGTAGTTGGACCGGTCCACTAGGGACCAGTCTAACAGGTTATTTTAAATATTTTCTAACAAAGTTTTTTTAAGTCTACCTCCACCTTTCTTAATGTAGGTCAAATCTAATACATCTACTCTCCTAACCGGGTCATCGGAAGGGCCGCCATTTTATGTGACCAATTCATCTAAGGTGACTCTCTCTAATCTTATATGTCACTGGAGCTACTCCAACCTTTTCACGGATATGCTCATTTCCAAAAAAATATTAACTAACATCTACAAAAAAGTACATTAATTCATAACTTATTTATTGCTTCATAACTTATTCTTTGTAGTTGTTATTTTTTTAATCACGTACGTCTACTAATTTCTATCATGTTGTTCGTCTTGCATTACTCTCTAACATTACAAAACTTATTCCTTTACAGGTATATCTAAAGGACACTGATGAAAGAGCATGTGCATACATTGCTGGTCCAGCTCCAAATCGTTGGGGTTTCTCTGCTGAAGGCAAAGACCTCTTTGATTTAATCAATAGTGCACCAAGTGAAGGTGATACACAGTATATATCATGTTGATTTTGAAGAGGAAATTTTTTTTTTTTCATTTTTTTCTACTTTTGGATACATTAGTTCAGATTCAGTTTATAGCTAAAGGATCAAAATTATCTCTTAATCATGACCAAAGAACTACCTAAAATCCATATAGAAAATCATGAAACAAATAAATGGAAAGAGAGTTGAACTATTTGTTCAAAATATTTATTCTCAACACAAATACTTTCGAATCTTGGAATATTTATCTTGTTATTTCCATATGTGGAAGGGAGATGGGCGAATATTCATATACCCTCTCAAGTTAGGTTGTAGATATAAATCATTACCAACTTGAACTTTAAAATTTTAAAGTTGGCATGTGATAGTGTCTTTGTACGAGTATTTTTTGTTTGAAGATTTTTAGGTGTGTATAGGAGTTTATGAGTCACTCCTCCAGCTTCTCTTTGAATAAATGATGATCGATCTTAAGATGTTTTCTTATGTTATGATGAACACTAATTTTTACGATGCTTATGGTAGTTATGTTATCACATAAGAACTTAGATTTTGTTGTTGACATTCCTAGTACCCCAAGTAACTTAGCTACATCTCTCCAAAAAAAAAAGTTACTTGGCTACATTCCTCCGCTTGCCATGGGCTATAGATATCAATTTAGCTTTTGGGTTGCTTCTAGCTACTAATTTTTATTGCCTCGCAAAGTAACTTACTTTTCCTACACATTAGTACAAAACTATGTTGATAAACTTTGATTTGTTATTGATCCAATCTAATCAGCATCAATAAATATTTTAACTTCTCTGATGGAAGTGTTCTTGAAGTATTATCCCTGTGAAGGATTTCTTTTCAAGTATTGCACAATTCGATATACAAACCCCAAGTGTTCTTGCGCAGAACTGTTCATGACATAACTCACCATGCTCTCAAAGAAATTAATATCATGCACTGTGTGAGTGAGGTAAATGAGCTTCTCAATCAATCTCTGATATTTTTCTTTTTCATCAAGACCCCCTTCTTTGCTTATGTATTTGCTATTAGATTCATAGGTTTGTGAGCCAATTTGCAACCAAGCATCCCTAGTTTTAGTAGCTGTAGAGCATACTCAATTAGCAAATGAAAATACCATTTCTCAAATGAGTCCTTTCTTGCTAAGTGTTTGAGGCGACACAAGCTTTGATCTTAAATTCTATAGCTAGAAGGCTCATCACTTTTGATAGGGTTCTCTTATAACATAGTTTTCTCGTTGGATTGAAGGATTAAGATAGTATACTTGATTCCCAAAGAATGTGACATCCGAAGTTGTAGAACAACCTTGCTATCAGCAAACAACACCTGTAATCTTTTTAATTTTGTAGATACCTAAGAAATATGCATTTGGGTGATTTTGGGTTAGGCTTGCGTTGAATTTATTTATTTATTTCTTACTATAAGAATGACATAATTAACTTGCTTTGAATTTATTGATATATATATATGTACAATGGTAATTAGGGTTTTCAAATTTGGTTGGTGGGTTGGTGTTAGACCAGCCCAGGATGGGCCGGTTGGACCGGTCCAGCAGGGACCGGTCCGCGTCTACGCGAGACGGAGCTTGGGCGGAAACGGCTCTGCCGTGAATCCATGTAGGCTTGAGAGGGGGAGTTTAGGAGGGAAATTTTGAACGTGAAAGGCTGTTTTAGGAAGTTTATGATTGTCCTTTATGATTAATTTTGTATAATTAGGAGTTTGGGGGGAATTAGCTCCTCATCTTGAATTTGAGTTTTCTCTTTGAGATCTAGGGTTTGCTTTGGGCTCTTGGCTTTGCCGGAGATCGTGGAGAGTTGTTCTTCCTCTCGGATTGAAGAACATATTGTATATTTGCTGCTTTCTTTGATTTCTATTGAAATACAAGTAATATCTTGTGTTTTTCTCCTGTTTTTCCCTATTTCCTGCTGCTTTGTCATCGAAGTCCTGTTGTTTTGCTGCTGTGGACAGCAGTTGGCTGCTGTATATTTACTGGTTTGGGTTAAAATATTAGAAGGTGGAAATATTAGAAGGCGAGTTCGGACAACTGAAGACAGATCTGGAGGGAAAGTTCCTGGAAATCTCCACCAACAATGACAGGTTGAAAGGGAGGTTCGCGGCTATGGAAGAAATGATGAAGAAACTATTGGAGATGAAGACCAATCCGGAGACATCGGAAGTGAGAGAGACTACTGACGGCCATGGAGTAGGAGGAAATCCAAACCCAATCCGGAGGTGGAGATTCTTGAAAGGGACGACGATATGCCACATTTAGAGCCACTCTCTAGAGAGGAGATGAGCATGGGAAATGACCGTCGAGGTGCTGATTTTCAGGGTCGAGATGTTGATTTTGGAGGCAGGCGGGGGGAATATGAAGGTAGTGCAGATTTTGGAGAAAGGAGAGAAGAGTATCAGCGTCGAGGTGCTGAATTTCAGCGTCGAGGTGCTGATTTTGAAAGGGGAAGAGGAGATTATGACGAAGAATTCGGTTACCAACGTCGGAGGGAGGATCGGGACACTTGGGGAGCACCTCACCTTCGAGGAACGGGAGGTTACGGAGA